TCAGCTCAAGGCGAGCGCTCTACCACTTGAGCTACAGTGCCACTTCCGGTTTTCTGGTGGTTTATTGGAGATAGGAGTCTCACAGTCTCTCCTGCCCGGGCTGGCTTTGAACCGCAATCCTCAGATCTCAGCCTCCTGAGTAGCTAGGATTACAGGCGTGAGCCACCAGCGCCCGGCTAATGGGGAAACTTTTGATCTCAGACAGAGTTAGGCATGGCTGTTATTATTATACTCAGCCAGATAAAAGTGAAAGTCAGAGAACTTAAATGGCCTGGAGGTGAGCAGATGTTTGTTTGGTATTGGAATGCCACCTTTTGTCCCCTCTCATCCCAAGACCACTTACGTCTGTTTGCACCATCTGGCAGCGCTGGGCTCTAATTCGACTCACAAAACCATAGACATCCACCTTCCGCTCTGTGTGCATCATGTCCAGCATGGCATCAATGACAACAAAGGTACCTGTGCGCCCTACACCTGCACTGTAGCCAAAGAGTGAAGGGTTATGTAACGGCCAGTATGACTTGTGACAGTGGACAGGAAAGGGCACCACAGGCTTGGACTCTTTTTCCAGGGTTTTACTCTAATTGCAAATGCAGCAGAATGAGTGGTCTGGAACCAACAACTCCAATCTTTTGGGCACTCCTGACCTCTATCAGGACAGGGTATTCTGAAGGAAGCAGAATACTTGGCCAGCACTCAATGTAGCCACTTGGCCTTATAGCAAGCTTCTGGCCTTGGAGGACTGACTGCCTTTTCTTCGCTTTCCTCAAGTCATACACTTCATTCTACAAGAGAACTTCAGAATCTCTGGGTCTACTGCCCTGGGGCTCAATCATGCATCTGCTTTAAGAAGTCCTGTGATGTCCCCCTGCTTTGGCCAAGGGCGCAGAAAGTGGGAGCTCAGGGTCAAACTACACTAACCTGCAGTGAACCACGATGGCCCCTGCATACTGAGGGTTACAGGCCTTCACCTTCTTGAGGAACTTGAGCATGCCAATTGGGGTGAAAGGAACCCCAAAATCTGGCCAGCTGGTAAAGTGGAACTGAGTGATGAGGCGTTGTGGTTTTCTGTTGGTCACGTCGCCTACCTGTGAAGTGAGGAGATGCATATTTACCCTGTTACCCAGGGATGGACAGCAGAGGGAGGATACAATAAAATGAACAAGTTTTGATAATGGACAGAAGCTCTTTTTGGTAATTGCAGCTATTACTATTATACTCAGCCAGATAAAGGTCAAAGTCAGAGAACTTAAATGACCCATTCAGGCCCCAGAACTAATAAATGATAGGCCAGAGCTAAAATTCAGGACTTCAACTCTTGGTAAGTCTCCTTTCCACAGCTCCTTTGTGCAAAGGCTTCAGACCAGGTCCACTATATCTTTGCTCTTAGGAGCCTTCAAAGCAGGAAAATAGAGGGGAGCCCAGCACTCAGGAATCTGCCCTACACCCCAATGTTCCCTGTTTATATGGCCTGCACATCTAAGGGTAATCACATGTTTTTTCTTCCAAATCATGACACTGTTGCTCCCTTGGCTTTAACAGAGAAGTTGCAAATACATGGCACACTTAGCAATTCCTGAGCACCTAGATCAGGACTGGGGATGACCTGGCTATTCCCATCCTTTACTGGTCAGCAGATCTTAAACAAGAACCAGGAGAGGGAGGAAGCAGTCAGTACCTGCTGAATGCAGAACTTTCGTACTGTATAGTCTACCAGGACAGTGACATCTTCTACAGACACACGAATATTCCCATAGGTCCAACAGCCTTGGTCTGGCCAGTACTGGGCGCATTTACACTAGAAAAAAACAGACATACATTCTGACACCCATTTTACTTATAATATCCCAGTGCAGTCTCTTGGGTAAGCCTGTCTGAATGCCTGAGACCAGTAGGATACTATGAGGAGACTACCATGATGGGTTATTGCAGACTATAAACATAAGCCCTTCTGTTATCTAGGCCTTAGACAGCTTCTAAGAGCCAGAGGTCAGGTTGAGGGAAAATAGCCATCCTTAAGACTGTTATGAACGGGATTCCTCACTGGGGGTTGATCCAGGACTCATCAGACTGGCACTAGTTACGGCTGTGGCTCAGTGACAGAGCTGGCCAGGCCAGGAATAGATTTAACAGACACAAAAGAAAAAGGAGCAGTCAAAGCTTGCAGGGTCAGGGTCAATCCTCAGATTCTCTTGTACTCTTGTAGGGTCTCAGTCCCATAAAATTCTTTCTGCTAAGGATATACCCAAAGCCTCAAGGAACTAGAGAAACCAGGTGAGCAAAGCTTTTCCTTGGCTAGTGGCTCAAGTCTTCCCCAGAGCAAGTTAACTATCAGACATGAGAATGGCATCTAGAGAACTCTGAGACTTCCAGGCCATAGAAAAGTCTGACAGACTTATTAGCCTTTTTCTGTCGGTATGATCTATTGGCACAACAGCCACAAAAAGCCATGTTCAAACTCAGAGCTACAGCGGGGCACACCCTGTTGGCTACATCTATACCACAAGACTTGCAACTTGCTATCTAATTTCTCCACTTACCTCCTTTCTCTCCTTCAGGTTGGTCACCATAACAATGGTGGCTGTATTTTGTTCCCAGATCATCCTCCAGAAATCATTCACTGTTTCTTCCTTTGGTCCTAAAGAAGCCAATAGCAAGATGAGAACACACATTAAATGGAAGATAGCTGCTAGGAAATTGGGAATATCTATTCTCGACTTTTGGAAGCCTGTGTCCACATGTTCTCAGTGGAATATCCAACCTACCTATCCTTCCATTCACCTACTAACTAAACTTTTCTTTTGTATCCATCACGTATGTGCCTAACATTTCGCTAGGGTTGTGGGTTAAGAAGGCTGCCAAAAAAGAATAGAACACAGTAGTCTCCATGGATAAGATAACTGAGAATGAATATCTACACTACGAGTCCAGACAAGTGCATATTTGGCATTTGCTTTTTCCCTTCACACCAAGATGGGTATCATCAGTTCCAGAAAGATTGAGCGATCTTTTCAGGCTAGATTAAAAATTTGCCATATAATCTTTTTCTGGAAGCTTCAAAAATAATGTAGCATACAAAGAGAAAGAAATGGGCACTAATAATAGAAATGCTAATGGAATGACCAGAGTGTTGGTAAAGGGAAGTCTTAGTTAAGTTTGCCAGGATAAAGGGCAATAGATCAATTGTGGAACTGAAGACAAAAAGTCCTAAAAGATTCTAAGAAAAAAAATTAAACTTGAAAAAAATTAAAACTTTATATATATAAAGTGCTTAGAGAAGATATTATCTACTAACGAGTTAAGGAGACAGTCTAGTGGTCTATTAAAAAGAAAATTAAGTGACTAGGAAAGCAAGGCACCATTAACTCCTGAAAAAGAAGGAAAAACTATATAAAACATCACTGTTTTCTGTGCTACACTGTAATATTGATATACTTGTGATGATAGAAATAGCAAATACTATCTTAACTCAGAGTTGAGACTGAATTCTACTGGGAGGTCTCTGACACTTTTTTCTTTTTGTCGGTTATGAGGCTTGAACTCTGGGCCTGGGTGCTATCCCTGAGCTTTTTAGCTCAAGGCTAGTTTTCTCACCACTTGAGCCACAGCACCACTTCTGGTTTTCTGAGTGGTTTATTGGAGGTAAGAGTTTCTCTGACTTTCCTGCCCTGGCTGGCTTTGAACTGTGATCCTCAGATCTCAGCCTCCTGAGTGGCTAGGATTACAGGTGTGAGCCATGGGCCCAGTTTCCTTGACACATTCATGTGATAGTCAAACTTTTGGTTCTTTTGATGCTTTTCATCATATATTCCTCTAATTATTCCCTTTGGTAAAAGTAAAACCATTTAAAAAATTGGTGCTAGGTATTTTTCAGTACAGGATATTATAAGTGCTCTTCTACTGAACTATATCCGCATCTCCAAATAAAAGTTTTAGAAAGACAGACAGTGCTCATAACTTAAACTGGAATAATACAAAGATTAGCATGGTCCCCAAGTAATGAGAACTTGCATATTTGTGAAATGCTCCATATGAGAAGAAAAACATAAAAGAAAAACAATAATGAAAAAGGAGGGACTGGGAAGGTGGCTCAGTGGTAGAGTGTTTGTCTTGCGTGCATGAGGCCCTAGGTTCGATTTCTCAGCACTACATAAGCAGAAAAAGCCAGAAGTGGGGCTGAGGCTCAAGTGGTAGAGCGCTAGTCTACAGCTGAAGAGCTGAGGGACAGTGCACAGGCCCAGAGTTCAGGCCCCACGACTGACAAAAAAAAGAAAGAAAGAAAGAAAAAGGAATACACCAGAAATATTTATAGGGCCCAAATACACATTTCAGGCATGAGGACCATGTTCTGGAGAAGGTAGTATTTGGAAGGTATCATGGGTCTCAAGTGGATGGGAGCTTAGAAAGGGAGCAAGAGAGAGGAGAGGCAAGTGTGTGTGTTGGGCAGAACATGGGGCAGTGGGGGAATAGCACCAAGATAAAGGACATGTCTAGGGCCTGTAAGGAGTTCCTCAAGGTCAGTATAGACTGCAGGCAGTGGTAGAAGATAAAGCAGAAAGATTCCATAATTGAAAGGAGTAGAGGTACCAGCCTCCAACAGGGTAGAGGCTGGGCTAAGCAAGGATGCTCCTAGCAAGAAGGGTAAATACAAGATTTTCAGGAAAGCCCTGACTAAAGTTTTGCTTTGAGAAAAGCCAGTAGGAATGAAGAGTGCAAAGCTGAGGCACAAAGGCACACACAAGTCAGCAGACTATTGCATGGTGCTGGAAGAAAAGGGAACAAGAACACATACTACTGAATCTGGTTTGCTAATTAGGTGGCTACATTATAGTCTTCCTAGTAGCCAAAGAATATAAGATAAAATGTTGTTTTGGAGCTAAGTAAGTTTTACCTTAGTTTCTGATACTCAATCTAAACAGTCTTGTATTATCCAGATAGAGGTACACAAAATGGTCTGAAAATGTGGCTCAGGAGCTCAAGAGAGGCAGCAGCCAGTCCAACAGAAGAAGGCACATAAGCCTATCAAAGGTTTAAGAATGCTGAGGATCCTGAGTGTTATTCAAGTTTAGCTGGTATAAAAAGGGCTGAGAATGTGGCTTAGTGGTAGAGTGCTAACCTTAAGCAAAAGAAGCTCAGGGGCAGTGTCCAGGCCCTGTGTTCAAGTCCCAGGACTGGAAAAAAAAATGTCTAGGAAGGAAACCAGGAAAGCATAGATGGGGAACAGAATTGACCAGGAAAGACAAGACATGATCACCTCTATATTAGATGAGAAGGGTTTTTTTCCTTTCATATCTGCATTATTAAGTCCAGTACCTGGCCCATAGTAGATGGTTAGTATATGTTTGGTAAATAATTTAATAATAAATTAGCATCAGTGAACAATAACATTATGAAATCTCTTCAGCTGCTGAAAACATCAAAACATCTTTGCTAGGGGCTCTGAAAACATCTCACCAGAATGTCAGGTTATATGTGGGGCTGAGATGTAGATCAGTGGCAAAGCACTTGCCTAGTAAGTGCAATGTTCTGGGTTTGATCCCCAGTACCAAAGAGAAAAGACAAAAAGAAAATACAGTTAAATAAAAGGAAAGAAAAGAATATCAGGTTGTGGGAATAGATGCAGAGTGTTTATAGGGTCATGGAACAGAGCCCTCCTCTGAAGGACCCTCCACTACCTATCTGTGAATAATAGTGGAGTTCAGGTCTATGATTTTTTTTGGTCAGTTGTGGGGCTTGAATTCTGCGCCTGAGCGCTGTCCCTGAACTCTTTCACTCAAGGCTAGTGCTCTACCACTTGAGTCTCAGAACCACTTCTGGTTTTCTGGTTGTTAACTAGAAATAAGAGTCTCATGGACTTTCCTGCCTGGGTTGGCTTTGAGCCTTGATCCTCAGATCTCAATCTCCTGAGTAGCTAGGGTTATAGGTGTGAGCCACTGGCGCTGGCTCCAGACCTATAACCAATCTGGATCAGTGAGGTTGCTGATACTCTGTGTAGACTGATTCCAAACTGAAACGCTAAGTAGTGTGGCTAGAATCTAAGGTTAACTGATAAGGCCAGAAGGTCTCATCTGATTGTGATTGTGATTGTGTGTGTGTGTGTGTGTGTGTGTGTGTGTGTGTGTATAGGCTTCTGCAGTCTTTTAAATACACATATACAAAACAAGTACTTTCAAAGGGCCTTGGATATTAAATCATGAAGATGAAATTCTCTTCAATGTAAACTTGTAAGGCAGATTATATTTCTTTTAGATGATAATTATAGAAAACTTACTACTCTCATTAATCCATTTAGTATTTGAGGGAAAAAAAAAACCTGAACCCACTATAGGAGCATGGTTAATCCTAAAATGTTAGCATTACTTTACCTTGTGCAGCAATAAATTTATTCTTTTCTTGGTAGCCCTGGGGAAAGGGAAAAGGGATAAAAAAGAAAAGTGAAAACCAAAAGTCAGTAGGAATGAAATTTGCAGTCTGACTCTCAACCAGTTTACAAGTCTCCCTGGTGAAAAAGTCCAGGCAGTAAACAAAAGCTTCCATTCCAGGAACTCCCAAAGAGCTAGCTTTGGAAACAAAACTCAAAGATTACAAAAACTCAAGTGGTCTAGGTAGTCTTCTTAAAGTGAACTGGTGAATACTAGTGTAAGAATAGCCAAATACCAACTCCTAGGCTAGACCATGTGTTTGATGCTTTATAAGCATTTGACAATGTAGTATTTAATGTTAATAGGGAAGAGCTTCAAGACAGAAACATCAGAGGTACTTCCAGGGATGAAGCTGGGAAGGACAGTGGGAAGGACAAAGGACTGCTTTCTTGAGAATTCTTTATCAGGTGCAGACCATTTTTGGGGACAGCCAATGTTGACAATGAACTTCTCCATTACAGATGGTGGGCAACTTGAAACCAAGGGACCTAGGGTTCCTACAAGCCTTTGAAAAACTAATAACAGACAGTAATTTTCTTTTCCATTCTTTATTGTTCAAGCTGAATGTCTTCTCAATCTAATTGTTTAAATGTAGTGTTTACTTCAGAAGTCTTAGGATAGTGAAGTCACCAGATTTAAGGATCATGGGTCACCCTTTGGCCCTCTCAATATAGCAGTTAACATAGGCAATGACAGAGGATGCTCAGATGGGACACTAGGTTGCGCCAAGCTGATGATGTCAAATACAGTTAAGGTAGTGGCCAAATAAAAGCAGGGACCTAAGTCTGAAGTAATTTCCTATTCCAGTTCAAACAAGAGCAGAGCAGAGTTGTTTAAGTTTGTAATTAAAACTGATGAACTATTAAGGATATATTAAGACTAGGCTAGACGCTTCCTTGCCAATTGTGTAATGGCTCTGCTTTGCCTCCTTCTGTCACCAGTCAAACTGGCCTACCTTTTTGTTCCCTAAGCTACAGAACCCATGCATGCCCTCTGCTTGTTATCCCTCCACAGTGGCTGGGACCACCTCCCTTCCAGCAGGCTTAGTTTATACTAGACATGACTAACTGGACTTGGAGTCAGATATTGTTCTGTTCTCCCTTGATTTTACTATTATTTTGTATAATCTTACTATTAAGTTATTTGAAAAAGCTTAGTAAAGGGTTCACTAACTCAGAGAAAAACATTTAGATTCAGATTCCATTTGGATTTCTATATGGGTAGCTTTTGTGAATGATGACAAAAATGACTCATTTTAAACTACATGATTGATTTTGTTTTTTAAAAAGAGGTTAGTTGGGCTGATATCATATAAACAGAAAAGGCTGGAAGTAGAGCTGTGGCTCAAGTGGTAGAGTGCTAGCCTTGAGCAGAAAGAAGCTCAAGGATAGAGCGTAGGCCCTGAGTTCAAGCACCAGGACTGTCAAAAAACAGGTCACTTAAAAAATTTTTAAGTTTGGGGGACTGGGAAGATGGCTCAGTGGTAGAGTGCTTGCCTTGCATGCATGAGGCCCTGGGTTCAATCCCTCGGCACATTAACCAGAAAAAGCCAGAGGTGGAGCTGTGACTCAAGTAATAGAGTGCTAGCCTTGAGCTGACGAGCTCAGGGACAGTGCCCAGGCCCAGAGTTCAGGCCCCACGACCGACCAACTCCCCCCCCCCCACACCAAAAAAAAAATTAAGTTTCTTAGAAGAAACTTCAGATGTCAAATATCCCTCCTAATATACATTTGGAAGGAAGTTAAGAGATGGTAGTCAAGGTCATGCACAAGGATAACAGAAAAGCATGGGTTCCTTACATTGATGAATGAAGCATTGATGTAATCGGAATCTGGAACTCCTTCAACAGGTGTCAGGTGGACTCTAGAGTGGTCATCTAGAAAAAAAAAATCAGCAATTAATACTTCACTAAATACAATTTGATTTCTTCCTGTTCTTGATGTAACTAGGCCAGTGAAGTCATCTGGACCTATGTGGACTGAGACATATGTTCATAAAGAAGTCACTCCAAAATTTTTTTTTCTTTTTCTTATTCTGCTTGAACTCAGGGCTCCATGCTTGTTAGGCACTCTACCAGTTGAACCACACTTTTAACCTTTTCTGCTTTAATTTTTTTTTTTGCCAGTCCTGGGACTTGAACTCAGGGCTTGGACTTTGTCACTGAGCCTCTGTGGGATGATGGCTAGCACTCTACCACTTGAGCCACAGTGCCACTTCCAGCCTTTTCTGTATATGTGGTACTGAGGAATCAAACCTGGGGCTTCATGCATGCTAGGGCAAGCACTCTATCACTGAACCACATTCCCAGCTTCTGCTTTAATTATTTTTGAATTAGAGTCTCATGTTTTTGTCCAGGTTGGCAAGCATCATGATCTTCCTATTTACCATGTCTTATATGTTGACAGATGTGTGCCACCAAATCCAGCTTTATTGGTAGAGATGGAGTCTTGCTAAGTATTTTCCAGGGCTGGCCTCAAACTATGAACTCCACCTCCTGAGTAGTAGGTTTGTTATTTTTTGTTGGTTGTGGGGCTTGAACTCGGCCTGGGTGCTGTCCTTGACCTCTTTTGTTCAAGGCTAGTGCTCTACCACTCTGAGCCACATAGCTCCACCTCTGGTTTTTTGAGCAGTTAGTTGGAGATAAGAGTCTCACAGAGACCTTTCTGTCCAGGCTGGCTTTGAACTGTGATCCTCAGATCTCAGCTTCCTGAGTAGCCAGAATTACAGGTGTGAGCCACTGGCACCTGGCAACCTCCTAAGTAGTTGCGATTACAACCATTATATCTGTTTTCTCTCTCTCTCTCTCTCTCTCTCACACACACACACACACACACATACACGCACACGCACACATGCACGCACGCACGCACGCACGCAACCAGTCATGAGGCATGAACTCAGGGCCTGGGCACTGATCCTGAACTTCTTTTGCCCATGGTTAGCACTCTACCACTTGAGCCACGGTGCCACTTTTTTTTTTTTTCCTGTTTATGTGGTATGCGGTACTGAGGAATCAAACCCAGGGCTTCATGCATGCTAGGCAAGTGCTCTACTACTAAGCCACATTCCTAGCCTCAATATATATATATATTTTGTCAGTTGTGGGGCTTGAACTCTGGATTCTATCCTTCAGCTCTTCAGCTCAAGGTGAGTACTCTACCACTTGAGCCATAGCACCACTTCCGGTTTTCTGATGGTTTATTGGAAATAAGAGTCTCACAGACTTTCATGCCCAGGCTGGCTTTGAACCATGATCCTCAGATCTCAGCCTCCTGAGTAGCTAGGATTACTTGCGTGAGCCACCATGCCTGGCATCCCAATATTGTTTTTAACACTCAAAATTTGAAAAACATTTCTACCACAAGGGAATAATATATCCAAAGTACAGAATACTAAACAGTTGATAAAAAGGAAAAATTACCAGTTGCCAGGCTAATGCCTATAATTCTAGCTACTCGGGAGGTTGAGATTGAGGATATTGATTTGAAACCTGACTAGTTAGGAAAAATCTGAGAGATTCTAATCTCCAATTTATTACCAAAAAAACCAAAAGTAGTCATGTGGCTCAAGTAGTCAAGTGGTAGACTTTACGAGAGAGGTAAGAGAGGGGCTGGGAAGGTGGCTCAGTGGTAGAGCACTTGCCTTGCATGCCTGAGGCCCCGGGTTCGATTCCTCAGCACCACATAAGCAAAAAGAAAAAAGCTGGAAGTGGGGCTGTGGCTCAAGTGGTAGAGCGCTAGCCTTGAGCTGAAGAGCTGAGGGACAGCGCCCAGGCCCAGAGTTCAGGCCCCATGACCGGACCCAAAAAACAAACAAACAACAAAAAAAGAGAGCTAAGAGACAGTGCCCAAGCCCTGAGTTCAAGCCCCAGTAATGGCACAAAAGAAAAAAAAAGAAAAATATTTCTTGATAGACACATGGACAATGTTAAAAAAGGCAGAACAATATGTACAATATACCAACTGTATTTAAAACTATGTAATAAATATACACTCATCTATGTATGCAAATAGGAAGGGCCTAGTAGAATAATCTCTACTTTTGTGGTCCCATATCTCACCAATAAAAATTTGAGCAGGACCTGGCATTAGTGAATTATGCCTGTAATCCTAGCTACTCAGGAGGCTGAGGTCTGAGGATTGTGGTTTGAAGCCAGTCCAGGCAGGAAAGTCTGTGAGACTTTTATCTATACTTATCTACTCAAAAAAGCTGGAAGTTGGGAATGTGGCTTAGTGGTAAAGTGCTTGCCTAGCATACATGAAGCCCTGGGTTTGATTCCTCAGTACTACATAAACAGAGAAAGTGCTAGGTGCTGGTGGCTCATGCCTGTAATCCTAGCTACTAAGGAGGCTGAGACCTGAGGATGACAGTTCAAAGCCAGCCTGGGCAGGAAAGGCTGTGAAGCTCTTATCTTCAATAATCCACCAGAAAACCGGAAGTGGTACCATGGCTCAAGTGGTAGAGGGTTAGCCTTGAGCTGAAGAATGTAGGGACAGGGCTCAGGGCCAGAGTTCAAGCCCCATGACTGACAAAAAACAAACAAACAAAGCCAGCCAGGGCAGGAAAGTCCATGCGATTCTTATCTCCAACAAACCACTGAGAAAACTGGAAGTGGTGCTGTGGCTCAAGTGGCAGAGTGCTTAGCCTTGAGCTGAAGAACTGAGGGACAGGGTCCAGGCCCAGAAGAGTTCAAGCCCCACACAGACAAAAAAAAAAAAAAAAAAAAGAGTTTTCAACAGCCAATAAAAATAAAGTTCAAGCCAGATGCTGGTGGCCCATGCCTGTAGTCTTAGCTACTCAGGAGGCTGAGATGTGAGGGTTGTGCCAGCCAGGGCAGGAAAGCCTGTGAGACTCATCTTCAATTAACTACTAGAAAACCCAAAGTGGAGCTGTGGCTCAAAGTGGTGGAATACTAGCCTTGAGCAGAAGAGCTCAGAGGCAGTAGCCAGGCCCTGGGTTCAAGCTCAATGACTGACTTCCCCCGCCCCCCCCAAATAGTTTAAATATCTTTCTCTCACACCCCATTGGATTAGGCACATCCTATCTGGAGATGTGCCTAATACCTAGATAAGAACAACTGATTAGCAGTGACTAACTGGGAAAATTAACTCAGTGTTTGAAGAAAACTCTGTACTGGAATTTCTTCCAATGAGCACTACAGGCTGGGAAGGTGGCTCAGTGGTAGAGTGCTTGCCTCGCATGCATGAGGCCCTAGGTTCGATTCCTCTAGCAACATATAAGCAGAAAAAGCCGTAAGTGGTGCTGTGGATCAAGTGGTAAAGTGCTAGCCTTGAGCTGAAGAGCTGAGGGACAGCGCCCAGGCCCAGAGTTCAGGCCCCACGACCAACATAAAAACAACAACAACCAAAAAAACTACCCTCATTACAACTCATATCCTCTTGTATCCTATGAAGTTATCCTCCTTGGACTCTAGAAACTTTAGGCCTGCAACAGAAATCCTGATCAACTGCCTCAATTGTCTCTATGGGATTTCCAGGGTACTCTAACCTGGCTACAGGTTTCTTGTGACCAACTGCAAGATTCTTTCCATCTTCAGAAAATCTGTCAACAGGTATAATTTGAGGTTATAGTCCAGGAAATTCTACAAAACACTCACAAGGCAAGATGTTTACATATCGATTTTTTTCCTTGTTTTCCTCCTTGGAGGCAGCTTCACAAGTGGCTTGGATTGGACAAGCAGGAAGAGCCTGAAAAGTTAAAAAAATTACAGGAGTTATTAATGGGAATAAACAACAAACATGCAGCCTGCTTCATCAAACCTACCTTCCTGTGTGGGGTACAGATTCAAGTAAACACTTTGTATCTTTCCCCAGTAGCTCAAGATCCTTAGAGTTTAAAGTCAAGAATCTCCAGGAGCAGAATGTGTGCTCTTTACATAATTACTATATGGTCAGGGGCTTGGAACTATGCTAGGTTAAAATGGATATCCCAATCCTGTTGGGTGCTGGTGGCTCCTATCAGTAATTCTGGCTACTCAAGAAGCTAAGATCTAAGGATCATGGTTCAAAACTGGCCTTGGCAGAAAAGTCTAAGAGACTCATATGGCCAAATAATCAGCAAAAAGCTGGAAGTGGAGCTCAAGTGGTAGAACACAAGCATTGAACAAAAAAGCCAACCAAGAGCATGAGTTCCTGAGTTCAAGTCCTAGTACTGGCAAAACACCCCCCCCCACACCCACACCCACCCCCCACCCCCCAAAACAACAACAACAAAAGTATTTCTGGGGTGCCATTTACTCATAATAATCATTGTGAAGATGAGATGTGCTGCCCCTCAGGGTAAAACCACGTAGGAGGGATCTGAATAGTCAATTTATATTCTCATTAGGAGTCTGACAGAGGCAGAGCACCCTAGCCTGGAACATTATGTGTCAAGGAAGCAGGACTGGTGGATGGAAGGGGGACTGCCACACAGGTACTGCAGCTGGGAAGAAGGGGCACTGGATATTGAGTGGGTAGCAGTTTTAGAGTAAATCTAACTGGGCTGGCACAGGGAGGTAAGTGGAGAAGCATGAAATATTTTGAGAAGAGAGAGGCAAGCTGTGTGAACTTGAGCGATATATCTGTTAAAAAACTTTCTATACCTACACTTTCTCATCTGTAACAATGGAACCAGTACCTGCCACTCAATAAGTAAATGTTATATTCTTAATAAGCATTAAAAGGGCACAAAGTAAGCATTCAATAAGTGAGTTTGATGAAAGTGGGAAGCTAAATTTTATTTGAACTGTTCTGATCTTCCACATATTCAAAACTAGAAAACAAAAGGGAAACAGATTAAAATTCTAGCCTGGACAAGCTTTCAGGTAACTGATTTGGCAATATGTCTTATGGGCTTTAAAAAGTCATACTTTTTGACCTAGCAAATCCACTCCTGATAATGTACTATAAGGAAATAAAATGTTCAACTCATTTATCATTATTTAGAATGAGAACCACCTCAGTATTTGGCAGTAGGTAAAAAGTTAAGTACATTCATGTGTTATTTTTCATTATCTCAAATAAAAGACTAGGTACAAGGTTAACAGTGGTGAACCAAACATGCACATAGTTCTTACACTCATGCAAATGTGGGTCAAAGTCAGACATAAAATAACTAAAACAAATATATAACTACGTATCATGACAAATGCAATGAAAGAAAAGAAAAATGTTCTTGGAGTATCAGAAAGAACCAAATTTACACCGAGGGGAGGGATCTATTAGGAAGATGAATGTGCAAGTTAGTATTCTAGGCCTAGGTCACAGAATCTGTGATGACCAAGAAGCAGAAGGCTCTATTGTATGAGAACCTGAAAGGTCTGTGGGCGTGTCACACACAAGGAGAGGTGGGTAGGATAGCAGGAAGTGGGAAGACAAGAGCTTGAAAAGATCAGACTACTCATTTCCATTGTGTAGGGATTTTGGTAGGTGAAAAAAACCCCCACCAAATGTTTGAAAAATATTACTTGATTTACATGATAAAGAACAACTCTGGTTATTTGGAAAAGAAGACAAGAATGGCAAGAGCTAAATTATGGAGTGGAAACAGAAAGGTGATGGTAAAAGGACAATGGATGCATTTGAAGTAGATTATAAATCTACTGGATTTAGAGATGAATGGAAAGAGAAATGGGTTAGGGAGAGAACCAAGATGGCTCTTTTCTTTTTTTTTTTGTCGGTCGTGGGGCTTGAACTCTGGGCCTGGGCACTGTCCCTCAGCTCTTCAGCTCAAGGCAAGCGCTCTACCACTTGAGCTATAGCGCCACTTCCCGAAGATGGCTCTTAGATAAAGGAAAGCCAGTCCAATGGGAACTACTTTTATCAGCTGGAAGCAGTGCTTTAAGAAGAGAACAAATATATTTCTTGAGAACCAGAATGGTATTGGTAAGAGAAATTAAATTAAAACACTTGAAGTGGAATTAGGGTCTCACTGTCCATCTGCCTTTACCTACTCAAGAGATTTTCCTTCCAGAGTTCAAAACCTTGGAGGGTCTGTATTTTATTAAGGACAGTTTTCTTTTGACTTTATGCTTATTAGTATATAAGGGAGAGAAGGAAAGAGTCTCCTCCCCCCCTCCTCTTCCTCCTTCTCCTCCCTCTCTCCCTCCTTCTCTCCCTTCCTCTCCCCCCCCCCTCAGGTGCTGAACTCTTATTTGGAACAGAAACCATATTTAAGACTGGAATTTTCCAATTCACTCACACTTTGCCTTCTCTTCCTTCACACAGGCTAGTTTTCCACAGGTTTCCATTCTGACACAGGGAAGGATAAACCATCCCTTCTCTACAATTTCTTTTCTTTTTGGTTGGTTATAGGGCTTGAACTTTGTCCCTGAGCTTTTATTCAAGGCTCATTATTCTACCACTTTGAGCCAGAGTGCCACTTCTGGTTTTCTGGTGGCTAATAGACTTTCCTGCCCTAGCTGGCTTTGAACCATGATAATTGGATCTCAGCTTCCTGAGTAGCTAGGATTACATGTGTGAGCCACCAGGGCCCAGCCCTTCTCTACAATTTAACAATTCCTGTACATCCCTATCTAAAGTGATGTAGAAAAGAGATAGTGACATGAAGACTCTTGAAGGCACTCTTTAGTATAGAAAGGTCAGAAATAGCAATGACTACCACCTCATATGGTCATATAAACATCCTATCCTTCCCTTCCCAACAGTCATAATGAAGATAAACACTATCCCAGTGGGCTAAGGCTCCTAAAAGAAAAGTTTGAAAGAAATCTCAGTTATTGTTTATTGGGAAACAAGAAAAGACTTTTGTTGGAGAATACAGCAATAGATTCAAAGGTTTAGACTAAAAAGTCTAAGTCTGGGATGAAAATCTAGCCCAAGAGCTAGAAGAGCAGACTAGATGATGTTACATACTCTAAAACCAGTAGATGGCACCAAAAAACCATTTCATGTCTCACTCAAGCCTTGAGAAAGAAGGCTAATAATTTCAGCATTAAAAAACAATCAACCAATCAAACAACAACAACAAAAAATATCAGCCAGGCACAGGTAGCTCGTACCTGTAATCCTTGCTACTCAGGAAACTGAGATCTGAGGATCATGGCTCAAAGCCAGACAGAGTAGGAAAATCTGTGAGACTCTTATCTCCAATTACCAAGAAAAGCTAGAAGGTGAGTTATGGCTCAAGTGGCAATGCTAGCCTTGAACACAAAAGCTTAGGACAGCACCCAGGCTCTGAGCTTAAGCCTCTTATGCCAATACTAGGGCCTGGGTACTGTCACTTAGCTTTCATTCAAAGCCAGCACATTATTATTATTATTATTTTTTGGGTCCAGTCGTGGGGCCTGACCTCTGGGCCTGGGCGCTGTTCCTCAGCTCTTTAGCTCAAGGCTAGCACTCTACCACTTGAGCCACAGTGCCACTTCCGGCTTTTTTCTTTTTGTTTATGTGGTGCTGAGGAATCGAACCCAGGGCCTCAGGCATGCAAGGCAAGCACTCTACCACTGAGCCACCTTCCCAGCCCATGCCAGCACATTATTATTTTAGCCAAATAGCTTCACTTCAGGCTTTTTGATGATTAATTGGAAATAAGAGTCTCACAGACGTGGCTCAACTGAATCATGATTCTCAGATCAGCCTCCTGAGTAGCTATGATTATTGGCATAAACCACTAGTATCACACAATTTTTTTTAAAGTTCTTCAAATTTATTATAAAAAAGGATATCCATCATTCAATTTAACTTAGAAGTTCTCTTTGGACTCATCTATCCTGCTGATCTCTTTCTTACCCTCTCACAGTAAACTTAGAACTTTTTCATTCCCTTTATTTTAATCCCATATATTTTGTTATTATTCAGTCTATTTTTGTGATAAAAATGGAATCATAATGAAGGAGTAACATTCGTTTCTTTTAATATATTTTTATTGTGAAAATACTGTATATAGGGGTCACAATTACGTGGGTAAGATAATGAGCACATTTCTTTTTTTTTTTTTTTGCCAGTCATGGGGCCTGAACTCTGGGTCTGGGCACTGTCCCTCAGCTCTTCAGCTCAGGGCTAGCACTCTACCACTGGAGCCACAGCACCACTTCCGGCTTTTTCTGTTTATGTGGTGCTGAGGAATTGAACCCAGGGCCTCATGCTTGCAAGGCACGCACTCTACCGCTGAGATACCTTCCCAGCCCTGAGCACATTTCTTATCAAGCATTATAGCCTCCTGTTTTAACATTATTTTCTTAAGGATTATCCAGGTTGTTGTGTGTAACTGACAAATCTCTTTACTGTTTAGTGTTCCAATTTGAGATCAAGTAAGTATTGTTTTTCTCATTCTACTCCTGATACTCATTGCTTAGTTAACTATCCCACTGCAAGTATGAATTTGCATGTGTGTTTCATGTATATGTATACAAATTCCAGGTATAAGCATGTTTAAGCTTACCAGATAAGGGCAAATTGTTTTCAGTGTAGTTGTACTAATTTATACTACTACTACCAATGTAAAATGTTCCACTTGTCCTGTATCCTAATCTGCTGTCAGATTTTAATTAAACTTCTACTTATGCTGATATTTAATGAAGTTCACCATCTTTTACAGTGTTTTCCTCAATGTTCTAGTGGATTATTTTTTCTTTCTTCCTTCCCTTCCTTCCTTCCTTCCTTCCTTCCTCCCTTCCTTCCTTTCTTCCTTCCTTCCTCTCTCTCTCTCTCTTTTTTGCCAGTTGTGGGGCCTGAACTCTGGACCT